AGGAAATAGCACCTTCCGCCACCTAACATCAAATCAACTCGTCGTCCCAAGGGATAATCCCCAATCTGTTGAGTGGCAATGATGTACTCCAAGTCCCTGGAAACAGCATGAGCCGAAAATGAAGCAGGGGTTGCATGAGTAATCCTACTTGTTACAACCAATCCTGTTGCCATTCCTAATTCTTTTGCGGCTTCAAGAATGGTGCCACACGGAGATTTTTCAGGATCCACTATGACGATTTAAGAAATGTCAACGGCTGATTAAAAAAGATTATTATTATTGCTTCTCGATGAACGTACCTCCGATAGCACCGTTATATGTTTTTAAGATGCAGGAGAAAGCTGTCGCACCTGCAGCGGAATCGGTGACGAGACTATTGGAGGATCTGGTCCTTGACGAACCGACGAGTAATTCGTCTAGTGGAGTAACGAAATCGTACGACAAATCTTTGACGTACTGATAATAATTACGGGCGAATGTTTCAGATGCAGGACCGAAGCCATCCGAGATCATTAGAATTACATTACGTTTTACTGGTAGTCCTTAAAATTGTAAATCACATGGTCTCAGATGACAGGCTTTGTTCACGTGACAGTTTTTTCGCAAAAAAAAAAGCGTTAGGCTCAAGCATATTTACCATAAGCTATTTCGGTCCACGCTGCGGCAATTCCTATGGTTATAAAGGCGACAAAAATTGCACCAAGGAGTACTAATAACAAATATCTCCTCGCCTAAAAAAAATAAAAAAAAATAAATTGAATGACGAAACGAGGAATTTCAAGAATCCCCTTTTCACAGCGACCGTTGCACTCCCCTGATCCCAAACCGAAAATGGTTCGCAAAAGTTGATCACAAACCTTTTTTTTATCTTGTTCAGAACCCGACAGTAAACCCGCAGTTTCTTCCGGATCATAGCTGTTTTCCTCGTAACTTCCCATTTGAGATGTAAGGTTACCACAGAAGAAAGGACCAAAAAGAAAAAAAAAAAACGAAGGAATAATAATGAGCTTATATTAATTAGTTAGGTGGTTGACATCATAATAAATATCAAATTTGTAATTGGGTTTCTAGGGAAAGGTCAAATTTCGTATGGGGGGTCGGCACATATTTGCAGTTGTGTGTATGTGTGTATTATCCTGTGACTTGGGATTATCGGTTTCATCCATTTAACTCGTAGTCTTTTATGGGCGTAAAGTTGACAATCACCTTTTTTGATATATGCAGTCTCGGGGCTCTGGTCAACACGTGTCTGCACGGTGTTAACTGCATGTTACACACAAATATGCACATGGATTATTCAAAGATCCGTGGCATCTTGTAAATGTCTCGCCAAGCGATCTTTAAAAATGTTCGGCTGGTCGCATCTTTCATCGGTCCGATCAATTTACCTTCAACCATCATTCGAAATCTTTCGTCGAGAAACGGCAAAAGTAATCCATCACCTTTGATTTCTCAACAACACAAGGAATTGGGATTATCAAAGATTTCACGTCCCAACGAAACGATCAACCAGAAACGGTCGAGATTAATTTATCAATCACGTAAAAGAGGAATTCTGGAAACCGATCTGATCCTTTCAACCTTTGCGCAAAAGTATTTACACGAATTCTCCGAGCAAGAATTACAAGAATACGACGAATTGTTGGATTCTCCTGACTGGGATATTTATTATTTTGTCATTGGGAAAAAACCAGTTCCACAACGATGGTCAAACAGTGATGTATTTAGAAAATTGCACCAACACGTAAAAAATGAAGGGAAGGTTATCTTGAGAATGCCTGACTTGTGATTTCATCAATTTTCTATCACATTTGTTTTAATAATTTAAGGTATTCGAGAGTTCGTTGTATCTTCTATATCACAATTGATCAGACGGCAACTATCGAATTTTCGAGACATTCTAACATTATTAATCAAGATGCGATGATGCCAATAATTTTATGCGTAAAATAAAGCCGACTTATTTCGATTTTCTTTTTTCAATTTTTACCATCATTTTGATCCACGGTAGGAAAAAGATTTACAAGTTGAGAAGATTGTAAGGATGGTTGAGCGGCGAGATTGACGGATCGCAAGCCTCCGACCTCAGCCACTTGATTTTGTAAATTCATAGAAATCCTATTATTATTCGTGCTAGAAATGGGACTTCGATTGTTAGATACCATCGACGATGTTGTTACCACAGGATTTCGAACGACCATGGCATTTTCGGCGATGGAATTTAAGTTGGAGGACGCGTTGTCCAAGAGAATATTTGCTTGTCGCGTTCCTCCAATGGATTGTATTGACGGCTGAATCGGACCCATCGATTGTATCTGTTGATAATGTAATCCATAAATGGGGTTTTGCATTCCTTGTTCAATTAATAGTTGCGTTGTCACCTGTGAGTGCGTTGGGGTCGTTATCAGTTGGATGGGTTGCTGTGGTTGATTGCTCTGTAGTGATCTCAACAACATTCCTGTGTTAAATGAAGAAAGTTGTCCCGCGTGAGTTGGGGTCAAAATGGTGTTGGCAAGTGATTGTTGCAATTGTGAATTGACAAGCGATTGCTGCAATTGTGAATTGACGAGTGATTGTTGCAATTGTGATTGTTGCAATTGTGAATTGGCGAGTGATTGTTGTAATTGTGATTGTTGCAATTGTGAATTGGCGAGTGATTGTTGTAATTGTGAATTGGCAACAAGTGACCGTTGTAATTGTGAATTGGCAACAAGTGACCGTTGTAATTGTGAATTGGCAAGTGATTGCAGCTGCTGTTGAGTGTGTGGTGATAATCTTGACTGCTGCGAATTCGCAAGCATCTGTCGAGCCTGAGCTAATTGCGACGACTGTTTTTGTATCAGCTGTAAATTAGAAAGTGAATCGACCGTGTTTTGGCGTGAAGGGTTATTATTTAAAATGGGTGATGAATTTGTTTGCAAGCTTGTTGTTTGTGCAGTATTATTCGATCCACTCGCGGTGTTTATTTCTCGTTGAGAAGGAACAACAATAACCGAAGAGTTCTCCAAAGATTTATTCGACGGCGACGATTTTTGCGCGCTCACCATAGCAGCTTCTAAAGTTATTCCAAAGGAAATAAGTAATCTGTCACATAAAATTACAAGATTTTGACTGATCACCTTCTTCTTCTTCTTCTCCTTCATCATCTTCGTCTTCAACAAAGTGTACAATCCTTGGTTCGGAATTATCAACATGACGTTCTATATGTTGCCAAAGATAGATCATGGATTCGAAACTCTCCGAACAATTTCCCCATTTACAAGTATATGTTGAGGCCATGTTACGTTAAAGCAAAGAGACGATGTAAAAGTTGTGAATCGCGAAAACCGAGTTTTCCAGGTCGCATTACGATAATTTGATAATTTGAAAAAAACATTGTGACACCTTTATGATGTAACACATTCAAATTCCTACATGTACACGTAATATTATTAATTCGCGTGACGAATTGTTGGACGATCTTTATTTCCGAGATAATTTATATCATGTGGTCATATTAGGTAGTTTAGCTTGAATAGATGATATTTAATTGTACCACTACTATCTTAGATGCAAGCAAGCAAACTTATTCTCTCACTCGATCATTCAGATAATTCGTCGATCTCTCCATCACCCCACCCGAATTTCTTGAGACAAATGTTACTACCATGTTCCATATACTCGGATCGAGTGACCAACCTCTCGTTGAATTCCGGAGAGGCCGCAAATTTACACCCACCATGCCACGCATATGTTATGGGACTATTATTATTATAGAAAATAAAAAGTTCGGAGTTATCAATCATCACGGTAATAATAATGATCATACGACATGATTCTTACTCTTCGGGAATTCCCACTTTAACTTCGAATTCTGATGGCGCAAGCACTCTTAAATCTTTTTCACTAGTAAGAGAAACGCGTGAATGTCGAAACATTGGAAGAAACGTGCAAACTGTCCAATTACTTACACTCTCTCTTTGTATCCGGAGAACAAACTATTGCCACCGACCAACACAATATTCCCGTAAAATAAACCTTGTAAATCTACATCATTTACAGGAAAAGGAAACATTTCTATACTCAAATTGTTGAATGATGACTATCGTCAGTTACCACCAATAATCCTTTTCTATCTACTGATAACCAATTCACTTTACGTGAGGTGTGTGAAGTAATTCAGTCGCGTGATCTTTACATGATAAGTTCACGTGCCGTAATTACCTCGCTTCGTGCACATCACATATCCTTAATCAAGAAATATAACAGCAAAAGATACCAGGATGAGTAGCATTAATTGCTTCCACTATGACCTCTGGAATTCCGGCTTGATTCATGCCTGCAATAGATCACGATGATGAGATGATTCCTTGGATAAGACCATAGGTAGATGGTGTTAATCGGACTTACCAATATCTGACGGATTGAATAATATTTCGGGCACGGTAAAACGTTCGTTATTCATGTACAAAACCTGTTCATCAGATTGATCATACATCTCTCCACCGCTTTTCTTCTCCTTTTCGCAAAGAAATCTTCTTTCAATACACGTTTGCAACACGGGATCATATGAAAAATGAAATGTCATGGTACCCTTATGAATCCCTTGGAGTTTCTCGAGAAATCGGGAAGGACATATTCTTGTAGAATTGGATTGTCTCTCGTATTCCTTCTATGTTATTATTGATGTCCACGAAAACGCGTAATCACATTGTGAATAAAAATCTTCCATTCTCCCTTCTTCCTTCACCCCCTTTCTTACCGGCAAATTTCAAGATCAGCCAGAAAATCCTGAGAAACATAACAACACGATTCTTTCACTTCGTTCATCACATAGGTTTGATCCATCATATCCCAGTATCTAAAGAACAGGTGACACGAAAATATCCGGCAATCCTGTATTATCCTCCATTGAATGATCCTAACATATAATCCCTCTTACCGAAACGATACGATCTCTTTGAGGTGATTGGTCAACAATTTGCCTCCAATATTGATTCTGAATTGAAGAGAGGTGAAATACAAATAATAATGCACGATTCATCCTCAATATGGCTGGTGCTCACCTTCGAATAGCGGGAAATATCGGTCGACCCATGACGAAAGGTATGATGTGAGTAAAAGAGTATCCCGAGTCCACCACCAAAACACAATCCGGTGATTCCGACGGGCTATGCGGTCTGTCATTATAGAGTCCGGATGTATCGTTTTGTATGCACAGCCACGGAGCTATTCATAATAAACATTTAAAATGCAATGCCCACCTTTGTCGATCTCGCGAATTCCGTTGAAAAAAAGTCAAACAAGTATACCAATTGTGCGACAATATGATTGAAACTCGTAAACTTCAAAAATCATCTCATCGTAATTCTTTTGAATATTCGGCAGATCAAAACATGGCTCCGTAATGAGAAGACTGGTTTTTTTCGGGTCGCACTAGGGAAGTCAAATAATTTGTTATATTTCTTTTCCTCTTCCCGAGTAAGTCGGTCCCCGATCTCACATACATTCATGACCTCCTTTGAAAAAACTCGATCCCAGGTTCCCTTTTCAACTTCCCAGTTGGTGAGATAACCCTACGCCATAAATTTTTCATTAATAATGTTTTGAGGCCAAATGTGAAAGGTGCAAAGGTCTCTACTGAACTCTTTCAAAAGGTAATCGGTAATATAATCCGGAAAA